TTCCACCATAGGCATACCATAGTGGGCAATGGCGACTCAAGAAAATTTCAACGGAGCCAAGAGCCCATCGCAGAACTTGGTGCAATCTATCTGACAAATTGATAGGAGCTGATCCTTTGAAAGCTGGTCTCTTAGGCATACAGTAAACTGACTTCCACCCCCTGCAATGCATCTTGAAGCCAGTCAAAATATCCTCTGTAACTGAACCGTAGATCCATCCAATCTGTTCCAAGACAAAATCCAATATTTGCTTTATATGTCATAATGTTTTCAAAGTTGAAGTTTCCATAGAAACATAACCATAAGGTGCTACTCACCTCTTTGCCCCACTCAGTTTTCTCTTCATAGCCACAACTAATGACATGAATGGCTTCCTTAATAAGAGATGATGAATTAGTTCCTTCAGGAAGGCCACCATTTTCCATCAAAGTTGAGGCAATAAACACGGGTGATTGTCCAAATCTTTTCTCAAAGTTTTTCTGTGACATAAGTGATGATTTCTCCAGTTCTTCATACCCTTCGAGTCCTTCTTCTATCTCTTCAAGTTCAAAAACAGGTCCGGACCCTTTCCTCACATAATTCTTACCCATCATTTTCTTCTTCTTGGTGTATAGTCCTCCGAAAATGCCTCTTCCCCCTTTCTTCTTGGACTTTGATTTCCTTGATCCACCACAGAAACAGCAGCACCAGGAAGGCCAGCAGTCACATGTCATCTTTGGCCTCTTCTCGGACACTGGTGGGTCATAACCATACAGTGCCTGCCGGTTGAAAACACATCCAGTACCCACATATACAGGACCTTGAATTCCATCTAGTCCTAACATGTTGATCTGTCAACAAAATACCAAATTAATACCATAGCCATTAGGAAATTGCAAAATTTAAGGCTATTGATATGTTGATGTGTAAATGAGCAAACACTTTAAAGAAGAGTATCTTACATCAAAGAAGACAATGTTCCTGTTAGCATATCTATCATGACGATCAATACCATCAAATCTCTGAGGAAACTGGACATAGCACAGCTTCTTCCCAAGTTGGGGATCCATTAAAAAGCACATAGCTTCTCTTATTGCCTTGCTGTTGTTGATGTAGTGGTCACAATCCAGATTCAGCATGAACGGTGCATTAGAAAGTACTGCAGACACTCGAACCTGGGAAGCAATTACAACCGGATCAAGTCATATGCATTACTCACTAGCTTCAATCAAATCCAAAATAAAAAATATTTTTAATCAAAAAGTACATACCAGAGCATTCATGGCACCTGCTTTCTTGTGGTGTTGGTATCCAGGACGCTTCTCTCGTGAAACGTACACAAGTCGTGGTAGTTCCTTACCTTCCACATCAAGTGCACCTTGGCTTCCTAGATAGACCTGCAAAAGAAGTAGATTCAAGTTCAATAAAGTTGGTATCAAATTTTAGATGGATGATAAAAAAGGAGAGAAATTTTGCAAACCTGAATCATGCCTGGATGATCACGGGTATTGTTACCAGGCCATGGAATGCCATCCTGCATGACCCACCCTTCTTCTGGTTTCTTTTGAGCCTTTGCTACCAATGCATTAATCCTCACTTTGAATTCTTCATATTCTCTCTGCAGGAAAAGGTAAATAACCCTTTCAGCCTCAACCATTTGTTGAGTCCTAGAATCTTGCAGGGAAAATGATATACAGCAGCATACAAAAGGTAGATGTGACTATAACATGCAGAGGGTACATAGACATAACAGAAGGTTTCCTGGCTTACTTTCATAGCTCTGCGGTCCTTCACGAATGTAGGCTGCACCTTATCTTTCAAGTAATCTATCTTCTGAGAGAAATAAAACTCAGGAGCCCTTGGTTCAATGTTGTACTTCTTACAAAATGGCACCCATCTTCGTGCAAATTCAGCAGTTTCCGATAATGTATCAAATAGGAGCATTGATGCACCATCATCCGATACATAACAACTCACCTTCTCTACCGGATAATCAACAGACAAGATTGATAGCATTGTATTTGCAGTGATGATTGGTGGTTCCTTTAGAGGGTCAACAGTACTAACAAAGACATCAACTGGAGATAGGAGGTTGGGTTCACCCTCACGCTCAAACCTCACAGATAGGCGATCCAGGTAAGTTTCACGGGTTATGGGATGCCATTTGGGAAACTGATCAAGAATCCAAGAGAATGCAAACCATACTTCACATATCACAGAGATGAGCCATAATGGGAAAGCATCATAAGCTGGGGTTAAGATCCGGAAGCGCAAGAAGAAGGCAAGAATTATGAGCCGGAGCACAATGACTATGCGGTATGGACTTATTTTGCTTGATGGAATTGGAACTTTCCGCCAAAGAGGCTGTCGCGCTTCAGCCATACTGCACAGAAAGATCTCATCTTAGCTCAACAAAATATGCATCTACTTCAGGTGTACGATTACTAATTACAAACCTCAAGAAACTTTCAGGAATTATCATGTTTAAGTTTGTGGTCATGTATCTGTTATGGAGTGATTTAGAAACCACAAAAAAGACAGACAACTAAATTAATTGAGGACTTACAGGTAGTCATCTTCATCGCCTTGATCATTAGGTCCATTATCTTTGTTGACCAAACCCCTCTTTTCTTGCCTCACTTTCCATTTCTCAACTCTGTCTTTCCACTCTGCACTTGTGTAAGTCTCTTTCTCAGCATCAAAATCCTTACCAGTAACTGATGATTCCATTCAGAAGTAAGAGGGAGATTTTAGGGGAAAAAAGAAATAAAACATTAATCCACCAGGTGATAAACAAACTAACTAGTAGAATAGTTTTGATTACCACTTCCTGCTGAAGAGAAAGCTTGAGCATTGGGCTGCCACTGGTGTGTGTTATAGTTCCCATTTTCCTGCAAAACTCAACATCAAAGTTTCAGATTCTTCTTACTTTTGAGTTCACTAAAATAATTTCTCATATGGGTTCCAAACATTCAGGCTTCTCAGATTTATATAAAATAATATTACTTCTTAAATCAAATTCACCATAACAATTTGATTTATATAAAAGATTAAAGCAAATTACCGATTGGTTATCATCATGCTTCTTGTCTGAGTCACCCTGGTGATTCTTAACATGGAAATCATTGTCAAAATCATCTGCATCAAAGTCATCTTCATCTCCTGGAACTCTTGGAGAACCTACAAAGAATACATAATAGTCAGGAACATATTTTCTAGCTTGATCACATAAGTTTTGGACAAAACTGTTCAACAATTTGATTGGTCTGAGAAAACCAAAGAAGTTCAACTTTACCTTTTCTATTCTAATTAACAAAAGTAAAAGTCATGAAGTATATTGAAAGAGCAAAAAAGCTAACCTTTATGACGCTTATAGCGAGTGTTGCACTGAGGGCAGCTGAGGTTTCCTTCACTCCTCTCATACTCATAACAAGGCCTGCAAACAGGGAAACCACAGACATGACATGCCATAAACAACTCTCCATCTTCTTTATATCCAATCTCATCTCCACAAACTCGACATGTCCTTGAAGCAGGATTGAACCGATGAGGAGCTTTTTGCTGCAACACAAGCACATTATATCATCAGCATCAAACATAAACAATACGAAAGTTGATGAAGGAAAGGAAAATACCTCCTCAATGCCATGGGAGGCAGAGACAAAGCCAGCCATGGAAAGAAAATGAAGAAATGAAAAATGGAGGAAAAAGGGAGTGGGTGAGATGAGTAGAGGAGGGGAATGTGGGTGTTTTAAGGTGGGAAAGTGAAGGGTGAGTGAGATATCATGATATGGCTCGTGTTGTGTAAGAGAGAATGTGAAAAGAGGGTATGCACCAAACTGTGAGTTGAGAAGTCATAGGTTTGAGTCTAAGAGACGTTAGGGAAGAGCAAGATAGGAGTAAGTGAGATGGGTGACATTGCCAATTTAGCTTAGCTTATATTCAAAGTCAGGTGTTCTTGCTGGTAATGTTTACCTTTTGATCTTCCGCAACAAATAAACAAAAAATACGTACTTATTCTACCAAACCCATTTCTGCATATATACATTTCATATTGGAGAATTGGAGAATTGAAGAAATCGTCTTGCAAAAATTAAAGTAATTCCAGTCTTAAATTTGTATAAATGACCAAAAGGGTAGATGGTAAGATTACGCTGAGACAGATAACCAACGTTGTAACATTCTTTTCTTGATTGTATTAAGACAAAGCCTTTGCTTTTTTCTTAACCCTCCTGCCCCGGAAGGACAGAGGATTTGTTTGAGGTGAAAATTACATTAATCTTTATATACATGTATACATATGCCAATTAAGAAATTTCATAATAAAATGGTAACTCTCCAATTGCTTTCGTTAACGAATATGGTGCGCCTCTATTTTTTTTTAAAGTTGAATATGGTAGCTGCCAAGTAGTGAAATTGTTTTCTTTTTAATCTTTTCTTGCCATCCTTTGAATTCTCCCCTTGCCCAAAAAACCCAATATTACACTAAAAGGAAATCAAGTTGTTACTATCTTTTTTCTTTGAATTTTCGTAGAAAAAAAGGAAGAGAAAAAAAAAAAACCAGATAAGCAATTTACAAAAACCAGTTCCTCTTACATTTGATTTCCCTTTAGTGAATCTTCACAGCTCTCTATGCTTTCTTGTCCCTGCCCTTCATATTCTCATAATTAAGCAGCTGATTTCACTGCAGATTCAAATCCATAAAACCAGACTGAAAAGCCTTCTATTACATTTCTATTTACAAAATGGCTACGCCATCAGGAATCAAGGTGTGCAACTGAAGATTTAAGGATCTATAATAGCTAATCTTGGGTAATAAGTATTATTTCCTGCCAGCAAAATATTCCCTACAGGTTGAAAATAAGGGATCAAATCATTCTCATAACGACTTACATCAAATGCACCTTCTTTTGAGTACAAGAGTAGGAATTCAAAGGCCGAAGCTATTGCTTTAGAACTCTTCTTCATTTTCTTTCTGTAGAGAGAGGGAGAACGAGATAGAGATGGAGAGGGAGGGTATATTAACTTATTAACAAAGGGCATAAGCAAATTTCACACAAGGAGACCTTTAGAACAAAAGAGCAGGGCATCTACTTTGAAAGCCTATCCATCAGTGAACTAGTCTGTTCTTAAAAAGATTAGAACTTTCACAGAATCATTATTTTTGGTGAGATCAAATGCAGATAATGGCTCTACTCATCCGTTCTTGGACGCTTTGAGGGTTGGGAACTTAATGGAGACTCCTCATGAGCTTCAGCTTCAGGATCCTTTCGCTTTCTACTTGGTATGTTTGAAATTTCTTCTAATGTAGAGCTGGCACTATTATTGACCTTTTCCCTCCTGCCATCATCTACCTTGGAGGCATCCTCTTCATTTTTGTCTGGAGAATCTGAAGGCAGATTCTCCTGATTGGACGATGATCCCTTCAGCTTGTCAATACCTGATTTCTGCTTTTCAAACATCATCTGGAGGTACCTCCCTTGTTCTTCTATCCGCAACTGCAAATTTCTCTGAATCTGCAGAGAAAACAGATTCCATGAACACCAAGCCAAGTTATGCGCAAGAGTGAGGCATATATGCAGAACAAGATGCTATTAGCCAGTAACATGTGAAAAGAACAATCTCGCCTTACTTATTTCATTCATTTAATGAAGAGAGTAGTGTTGATATGTAGAACTCTCTCATATTTTTCATGTTTAAACCACGTATATAACAAGAAAATTGACCACTTAGTTTCTAAAGGCTTCATTTCAACTTATTCAAGGAGGAAAAATCAACAGCTGATGGTTGATCTAGTTTTCAAAACTGAACTCTGAAAACTCCTAATTTCCCTCCATTTGACACCAACTTCATCCCCCCCTCCTCTTTTTAGTCCTTTTTGCTTTCGTAATAGTCAAAATACTCGAAGCATCTCTATATCAGAATCAAAATAGTCAAAATATCATATAAAAATCCATGCGAATTGTCGTCAATATAGAGATGTTTGAAGTTTGTCCAGATCAGCCTTTTATTGATGGAAAAGGAAACAGCCATTTATAAGTCCCATGTCTGTTTATCCTATGCACATGCAGAATTCAACATGGCAAGAATAATACACAATCAGCATGACATGACTATTAATGGCCATGTGGCACACCACTATTTGGTAGATTTATGTTTATAACTTAATCTTAATGAATAAAATAAAAATTTTGGTATTATAAAAATTAAAAATATAAAATAAAAACAAAACTTCCCAAAAAAAAATCTTCCAAAAATTTCCTAGAAGATAGATTTATATTATAATTAATACAATTTTGATATTACAATTAAAATTTTTAAAAACTTTTCTTCACCTTTTTCTCCACAACACTAAAAAAAATTTAAAAAAATTAGGATTAAAGAAAATCCCACTTATCTTTTATTTTTTAAAGATAAAAATGTTAAATTATTAAATAAATTCATTAATTTTCTCTCTTCTTCCTCTGTTTTCAATGACCAGAAGACCGTAGATCCAACTCTTCATTTTGCTTTCTCTTCCTCTTCTTCCAAAGCAACTGCATTTCCCTTTCAACACTTTCCTTCTCTCATCAGCATCTCATGACCAAGCTTCGTCCTCATCTTCTCTAATCTACCAAACCTAAACCCTCTATCAACCACCCCCCAACCCACAAACCAATCTCTCTGCTCTCTTCTCTTATAGACCATCCTATTGCTATTATTATATAGAAATCATCTCTGTGGCTCATCTGCTGCTGAGAAAAGGGGGT